ATATTACGGTTTACGATAGAGTGCCATCCGTAACATAAAAAAGTTAAAAATCGCCACCACAGTTCCTCCTCCAGCTGCCCGAAACCTTTTGCATCCCCTCCACCGCCACCGCCCCCTCCTCTCCACCCCGACGAACACGGCACCACGAGCCAGCCCCGCAGCCCACCCAGATTTAGCCTATCTCTCCCACCGCGGCTGCATTCCTTTTCCCCCACCCATCTGTAGGCGCTCCGGTCGTCCCGTCACCCCCTGGCCCTGCGTGTTGATTTCTTCGTTTGTGCTTGGTAAGAACGCCCTAAATTGCTGATTTTCCTCCTATTTCGGTTTGAAGAACCGTCCCTTTGCTCTGAGGCCTAGAATCGGAATGTTTGTCTATGCTTTGACGCTCCGATCCGTCTGGTTTCGTTGTGGATTTGTTCGCCGCGTGGTGGGGCTATTGCAAATGGAAAGCTTGTTTTCTTTTGAGGGTGGTTCAGCTGAACACCCCCTGCCACCACAATACGTACACCGCTGAGAGAGAGAGAGGTCATTGTTGTTGCCATAATATTGGATCAGAATGTCATGGGTGAAGCTCTACGCTGGTGGAATGTTTAAGCCCTAGATGATTGGCGAGCTTGATGAGCCATACGAGATGATCAAACCATAGTTTTGATAGACAAAGGTAGCTTCTTGTATCTTGTTTCTAGTATCCATGGGGGGTGGGGAAGAGCAGGAAGATTGGGAGCAGGCGTGTTCTTTTTTGTGCTGCATGGAATCCAGGATTCAATGGTTTTCATCAAGGATTTGAATGTCACTAACCTGTCATATTGGCGACAACCAATTCCTGGTATTTATGTCTGGAATAATCAAATATGCGATTTTGAAAGGTCGAGAAACCATATATTATATTTTTTTCTTCATGAGTCATGACAGACTGGGGCTGCCTAGTAATTTCTTCACTCCGTTTTTATCATGTTCGACTTCATTATTGACTTATTACTTCACACTCCAATGACTTCTCTATCATCATCTTTGTTTTAACTCAATTTATTTTCCCTTTGCAGCTTGCATAAATTATTTAAATAAATGAAGGCAAATATGGGCACAAAAGCTCGTCCACCATCTGCTGATGCAGAAAAAGGAGAGATTGGCGAAATAGATACAAGGGCTCCTTTTGAATCTGTTAAAGCTGCAGTGACTTTATTTGGTGAAGTCCGGTTTTCATCTGACAAATCAGCTGCAAGAAAGCCCAAGGCTCCTCAAGCAGAGGTAATCAAACATTTTTCTTTATCAAAGTTGTTCACCCCCCCCCCCCCACACACACACACACACACACACCACCCCACTCCCCCTACTACCTTAAGATAGATAGGACTAGAATACATAAAAAACTAGATAGGACTAGAATACGTAAGAAACTATGTGCCCTGATATTCTCTCTTTTGTTTGCTACAGTCGATTTGGCAGACTTAAAAATTCCACATTTGTGTTTTTTTAACCTTTTGGAAGCTTTCTAGAAAATCTGGAGAATCAAACACCCTCACCTGGGTTGGACAATGGCAGCTGTACGCCTGTCCATGTAACACTGGGGGCAGTAGTCCTCAAATCTAAATTGGCCTTTACCATCTTATTTTTTTACATACATGTCATAATAAAGAGGCTTTTTTTTTAACAGACAAAATATTAATTTACAGTTTGTAGAACAGTAGAAGTCTTATGACCAAATAACACTGCCTTGCATCTCAGTAGTTTTGCAACACACTTTTTACTCATTGTTTATATTATTTGTTTAATTTATATAAATGGGAGTGTTGCATGGTCTGAACAATAGTTGGATTCTTGGAACCATTACTTTGCAATCACTAGTTCAATTGAGAAAAAAAATGCTTTTAGATCAAGCTGGTAATTTGTTTCGTAGGTTCAGAATAGACATGAAAGGAATATCAATTAGAAATAGTTTGAAGAAGTGTTATGCATACAGATAATTAACATTCCTTGAACAGAGAAGAATAAATGCCACATTACCCAGTGCTAGATTGTTGTCCAATTGGAGGATTACAATTTTCCAGCGAACCTCACTATCCTCTACCACAGTAGCTGATCTGGAACCTGCTGTTACAACTCAACTATTTTGCCTTCTGCCAATTACAACCCAAGGACCAACTCAACTGTCTTTGAAGTTGCCCTTTTAAGCTTATAGACGGATAGCCTAACATGTTTTCTCTTACATCTAAATCTCTGTGTTTAGGGAACATATTTAATGACTTAATTGCTCCTCTATGTTTTGCTCCTTGAGTTTGTACCTATAATGATACATTGACATAGGTCACCTGTCATATCAACTTTAAGACTATCCATGTACCTTGAATGATTACGTGCCTATTTCTCGATATATTCTTCTGATGCTTTGCAATTTTTGGAATTATGTTTACCAGAGGGTTTTAGCCAAGGAGACAGAGCTGCACTTGGCCCAGAAAGAGTTGAATAAATACAAGGAACAACTGAGTAATGCCGAGACAACGAGAGTACAGGCTCTCTCTGAGCTAGAGAAAGCTAAAAAAACTGTTGAGGAGCTAGCGACCAAGTTGGATGTGATTAACAAGTCGAAACAGTTGGCCATTCAGGCAACAGAGGATGCAAAGACTCGAACCAAGCAGCTTGAAGGTGGCAGCACAAATGAAGGTCTAGGAACAGATGGTCCTCTGAAGCAGGAACTGGAAAGTGCAAGGGAGCAGTATGCTGTCGCTTTGGCAGACCTTGATGCAGCAAAACAGGAGCTTAGAAAGCTCAAGAAGGATTTTAAAACATCTTTGGATATGAGGTTGTCTGCTGCCCAGCAGGAAGAGGAATCACTGCATACAACTGAAGCTAACAAAGAAAAAGCTAACCAACTTCGTAGTGAGATCGCCGAAATTCAAGAATCGCTTATGCATGTTAAGGCAGCTACGGTGCAAGCACACGAAGAAGAGGCACAAATCCTTGCTGAGAAGGATGTTGCTAGGACCACGTATAAACAAGCTTTGGAAGAAACACAGAAGAAATTGTCGTCTTTGAGGAATGATTTTGACCCTGCTGCTTATGATAGTCTGAAAGAAAAACTAGAACAAACCAATTCTGAGATTGCATCTATGCAAAAAAAGATAGAAGATGCTCGGGCTCGGGATTTGGAGTCTGTTGCTGTTGTCAGCACAGAGTTGGATGATGCTAAGGAAATGTTGCAAAAAGTAGCAGAGGAGGAAAGTTCTCTTCGAAGTTTGGTGGAATCACTGAAAGTGGAATTGGAAGCTGTAAAACAGGAGCACAATCAGCTCAAAGAGAAGGATACAGAAACTGAATCCATTGTTGGAGATTTACATGTCAAGCTTCAGAAATGTAAATCTGAGCTGGAGGCTGCTGTGGCTGCTGAATCAAAAGCTACGTCAGCCTCTGATGACCTGATGCTGGCCCTTCAGCAACTGTCCTCAGAATCAAAGAATGCCCTGCAAGAAGCTGAGATGATGCAGAAGAGTGCAGCAGAGCTAAGAGAGGAAGCCGAAAAAGCTCGGGTTGAACTAGCAGAATCCGAACAAAAGTTGCAACTGGCTTTAAAGGAAGCAGAAGAGGCTAAAGCTGCTGAAGCAAGGGCCCTTGATCAGATCAAGCAACTCTCTGACAGAGCAAGTGCTGCTAGAGCCTCAACTTCAGAGTCTGGAGCAAATATCACAATTTCAAAAGAGGAGTTTGAATCTCTAAGCCGAAAGGTTGAGGAGTCAGAGAAGTTGAGTGAGATGAAAGTTGCTGCTGCTATGGCTCAAGTGGAAGCCATCAGAGCCAGTGAGAACGAGGCAATCAAGAAACTAGAAGCTGCCCGCAAGGAAATGGAGGAAATGGAATTGGCAACAGAAGAGGCCCTAAAGAGGGCAGAGATGGCTGAGGCAGCCAAAAAGGCTGTAGAAGGTGAGCTTAAGAGATGGCGCGAGAAGGAGCAGAAGAAAACTGCAGAGGCTCAGCCTTCGGCAGGGGCAGAAGAACTTGGAAGTGCATCTCCCCCTGTACCTCAGACTTCTGCTGGGAAAGCTTCTGAGAAGAACGACGGGCATCAAAGGAACAGCAGAACGCTACTTAGGAGGAGCTTCATGCTGCCAAACATGACGAGCATGTTCCATAAGAAGAAAAGCCATCCTGGCAGCAGTTCTCCCTCGTACCTTCCTGGGGAAAAATCTGTGTAATCTATCCGAAGCTCTTGTTTACGAATTGAAATTTCCAAACTCAAAAGCATGCTTTGACGCTATAATCTGTATAAATCCGTGTACTTGCGCCTTGCAGTAAATTTCTGACATAATTTTAAATTTGCTTGTACCCCTATTTTTCGGCACTACTTCCGGATGAGTGCATTGCACCTCTGTGATCCACTGTTATACTTCAGCAACAGTATCTTAGTCATGTTCTTGCAAGCTTCCAGAATAGTGGAAGCAACACGCTTGCTGCGAACTGCATTCATGAACTATGATCTCAACATGGCACAATTATGCATGTGTTCGCTGGAGAGGCCCCTTGTTTTATGTTGAGGTATGTTCCAATCACTCCCATCAGCCAACATGTTTATAGAAAAATACACCCCAGTGATCTAGGGTACATAACTGTTATACGAGTGTCAGCCTGTTAGGTTCCCATACAAGTATAGCACTTAATTTGTTGCGCAAATTGCAAAATAAAAGAATGCTAGGTTACAGTAAGCTCCTTATATTTACAAGAGCTGCAAAAGTAGAATACTCAGATATAGGCTCGACGCGTACGAGTATGCGGCTAGGTCCTTGCTTTCTGATGATCCTGCATAAATCATCTCATATAATCAACAAGATAACTCTGGCCTGCTTCACAGGAGTTCCCCAGAATATGTATGAAATAGAACAATTTCTCCTAGTAGTTTCTTTGAAACCGTATCTTCCGAGAAGGGGCTGAAAGATGGGTTTTGGAGCTACACCAATCCCATACTGGAGGCTTGTATCTAGTGGACTGGTACAGGAATCAACTGAATCCATCTATTCAATCCTTTCAAGGTTATATTTTACCATACTCTCAAGGGTACTTCTGAAATCACTTCTCGGAAGGCACTGCAGGTTTTGGATAGCCAAGTCACCCTTCTCTCTCGCAAGCTCATGTGCCCTCCTTATTCCACCGCGCCTGTGAACAAGCTCTATCGCAGCAGCTAACGAATCAGTCTCACTGAACTCGGAATCGATGATCTCTCTTAGCTCTGGTTCATCTTGCAAAGCAAAGATGACTGGAGCCGTCAGGTTTCCCTTCGCCAAGTCACTTCCTGCTGGTTTGCCAAGTTGCTCAGCTGATTGGGTAAAGTCCAGGATGTCATCAACTACCTGGAAGGACAGCCCAAGATTCCTACCATATTCATACATTTGTTCGCAAATAGTGGTGCTGACGCCACTGAATATGGCGGCTGACCTTGTGCTTGCTGCGATCAGAGATGCAGTTTTGTAGTAGCTCTTGAGAAGGTAATCATCAAGAGTGATGTCACAGTCAAAAAGAGTGGATGCTTGTTTTATCTCACCACTTGCGAAGTCCTTGATGACCTGTTAGAGCAAAGTATCATTTCTGTTAAGAAAATCAAGTACTGTCTTAAACAGGAAATGAAGCATTGCTCAAGTCCTTGATCACCTGACTGATCAGCTTTATAACTTCAATGTTTTCTAGGTTTGCAAGAAACCAAGAAGATTGTGCAAACATAAAATCACCAGCAAGTACAGCCACCCGTGTACCATATAGCTGATGAATAGTTTCCTTTCCTGAAAAACAGTCAACTACATATTAGGCTATATTGGTCAACTGAATAATGAGCCCTTCTATTCTGATGAGCATGATAGTGTAACACTGAAAATAAATATTAGGCTGCCAATGTGGTGGTGAGGCTGTTTGTTCTCTTGTCCACCTAGGTTCACGACCTAGGGCTGACTGCAGTTCATGTTGATGCAAAGTTTCCTTGCTAATTTTCAAACAAAAGGTAAATGATAACATGAAGACTGCAACTTTGTATGATGATTTCTGTCTGATTAAAATCATGTGTGAGAAAAATATAGTAACAGTATAGCTCCCAAAAGAAATAATGATTCCCCAGTTAATCCATGCCTCTAACATTGGAAGTATTTGGATGAAAAGAATCAGTAGAGGCAAATGCATCTATAAAATGAAAAGAAAAGAAATAACAGTTTTATTCACAATATTTCTGATTTATTTGAAAACAACATATCATCTACCTCTTCGCATCCCACTATCATCTATGACATCATCATGTATTAAACTTGCGGTGTGAATCATCTCTATAATCTCTGCCAATCGTTGGTGTTCTGTAGTTAGCTCCCTGTATTCCAAAAATATATTTTTTTATGTAAGTATTCCAAAAATATAGTCTCAGACAATAATTTCAAAACATTCCCTTCAAAATGGTAATGTTGAAATAACAAAGAGAACTTACGACAAACCAGCTAACTCAGCAGTTGCTCTAGACACCAGAAAAACTAATGCTGGTCTTAATCTCTTTCCACCGGCACCAAAAATTTGTTCAGCCGCAGAAACCAGAACAGGATTTTCTGCACCAACAAGCTATTGAAGTTATGTTAGCTGTTATTGTGGTAGGTGCGCACAATTTTACAAGGTCTTACCTTATACAGATAGCAACTCAGTGCAAGAACTTAGGATGAAAAAATGTCAACAAGAACCAGCTAAAGCCATCTGTCCACTCTAACCACCCAACATCATCAAAATATGGGGCCAATGCATGAAAAAATATAGGACAGTTTAAAAAGGGATGCACCATTAAGCTAAGCAGCTCTCACGGTCTCATTAGTCATTTAGATTATGGACTCCCATGCACTGTAAAGTCAAGTCCTGGACAATAAGTGCAGAATGGTGCAAAGCACACATTGTATACATCCTTTTGGATAACAAGTGCAAATGGTGCAAAGCACACTTGCCAAAACTAAGGCAATCTAGGATGAAGCAACTAGTAATAGAATGGAAGTCTACACTGGTTTGTAAAGTGATTTGTGGGCAAAAACATGGTCACATACTTGCATACCAATTTAATGAATTACGAGCACTAACCAATATTATCAAAGTGAGTACTTCATAACAGGCCCCAATTTAACTATCAGCCTTTTAACAACGCACTTAAACAGAAAGAGACTACTTAGTTTTCTTCGAAAGGATGGTGGAGGCTTTATTAGAAGAAGAGAATGGGCCCAGATTATAAGGGAAACTGGGTAAAAAAAACATATAACTAGGGATACAAACCCCGAACAACTTGGATACTAAACCACACAACTAGGTGGTACACAAGCCATCCCCGCACAACCTTTGGTCCTCTGACTGTACAACTAGGTGTACACAACTTCGGTCAAAAGACCAAAACAACTAGGCCAGGAATCCAGTTGCCTGACAACACAACTCGCCTAGGAGAGCATCACAGGACGGGATTTGGCCCTAGGCAAGAGGGGTGACCGCCTAGGATCCATGCCACTGAGGGGCTCATGTGTTCGTATGTCCTGCATATGAGCCAATGTACGCATAAGCCAGGATTTGGAGGCCCAAAGACCAAAAACACAATAGTCAGCCTAGGATGGGGAAAGTCATGGAGTCACGTGGAGGAGTCGGCCTCTTCCCGCAACTCTGCACATGCTCGCACTCGTTGGTTCTTTGGGTGATCGTGGCTTCGCGCTTTGCCTGGATGAACCGCTAATGGCGCCACAGTGGTCAGGCGGTCAATGCCCCTGCAACTTCAAGAAATCAAGGTACATGTGTCGATGGATTGGATTGGACTGTCTAGGCCATCGGCTATGCCTTTACATGATTTCTGAATTCCAATAATCCAATTCGATTTTATCTGACTTAAGTCATCTTGTCTGTTCCTGCTACTTGTTATTATCATTAGTAAGTCCCTCAATCCATATCCATTGCTTGTTAATTATTTGTTTAGCATGTTAGAAAGTTAGCCTGTTACTGTTAGGGTTCTAAATTAGTAATTCTAAGTTATTACTTTCGAAGGGCGGGCCTGGTGCAAGCGGTAGAGTCTTACCGCCTGTGACCGGAAGGTCCCGGGTTCGAGTCGCGGTCTCCTCGCATTGCACATGCGAGGGTAAGGCTTGCCACTGACACCCTTCCCCAGACCCCGCACAGAGCGGGAGCTCTCTGCACTGGGTACGCCCTTTAAGTACTTATTACTTTCATATTTTTGGTGTTAGAATGTTGCCTAACAAGCATTTGTCGGGTTCGAAGAAAAGGGAAAAAGACAAATAACTGAAGCATTGTTGTCTTATTTAAGGTAATCATAATAGTTATTTTATTGTTCTTTTAGTTTTTTCTGTTTAGTGTCAACTTTGTCTTTTATATAAACTAAATATATGTTGCAAGTTAAGTATTACTAATACTATGATAGTATATTTTATTTATCATATTACAGATGAAAAAACTATCTAGCGTAAGGGCTCATAGTGTCATGTTGGTACAAGGGTCATCAAAAGTCAAAACTGCTGCTATCACAGGAGTACGTCTCTTTCCGAAGCATTTCGGAGTAAACAGAGCAAAAAGTTGCGGCAGTTTTAGAAGGCGAGAGAGCAAAACGCTCACCGATTTTAGATTGTTGTTTAGTTTCAGCAAGTCGTCCGAAACAACCTCCAAAAGCGAGGACACCGAAGTACGGTCGGGGACGGTAGTCGCATTAGGAATGGTCGCCGCAGGTACGTCGATCGCAGCAAGACCTGCACAGATGTGTAGCCAGACTCAGCACGAATCCAACGCTAGTAGTGCAAACGACGCAGCATAGTTTAGCAACAGAAGTCAACAAAGGCGGACCTGGCTGGCTTGGTGAGACCACGAAGCAAACACCTGGCGTGCGCCTCTTCGATGCCGCCCTGCAGGCCCAACTGTGCCGGAGCCGAACGTTCTGCGCGCGCGCGCCGCGCTGGAAGCACCCGAGGCGGAGCTGCTGCGGCAGTGGAGGCGAGTGCGACTGGGCCGCGGCCATGGCGGTGGCGGTGGCGCGGCGGGAGAGGTGGGAGGAAGAGGCGAGGGAGGACGACGGCGCCGCCATGCTCACGCTCCTCGGGTGGCGGTGGTGGCAGCGTGCGCTGCCCCAGCGTCTTGCAGTTTTTGTGAGCTTGCGGTGACACGCGACGCGGGTGGCGAAGGCGGGAGTGGGGCCCGTGCCTTGCTACGTGGGCGAGTTGGCGGCCGCGGCTTTCTATCGTCCGCTCGCGCCTTATCGCCGCCCATGGCCAGGCCATGGGATAGGGGCAGCCTGGGCCGTGGATTCGGCCACGTCGGCGCTGTAAGCTGGCGGACTGGCGGTGCAAAGGCTGCTTGGGTGGACGGCCAGGAACCCCACGATATACGAGTATGAAACTGCACGCCGACAGCGGACATTTCTATTTCCGGCTGCAGGAAAGGGCAAAGTGGACGCCGTAGAATCCCACGAGATTGTTCCCTTTTGAGAAATGTTATAGATAAAAAAATGTCAGAAAGAGTGTTAAGTGGGTTTCTCAAGTGATTTGGTTTTGGGATCTACAGTTGTCTCTTGGGTGGAGCTTTTGTGGGTTCAACGAAGACTCCATCTTTGATGTTTGGCTTGGTAGGCATGGGTGGAGTGATTTTGGTAAAGGTGGGAGTAGTAGAGGAAGGTGGCTTCTCACTCTTTTGGACCACTACACTCACCTATCTCGTCATAGAGTTTGTCACCCTAACCCTCAACAACAAAGCCTACACCCGCTTCACACCAGTTTTGAACCGGTGGATCATCATCCTCAATTGAGGCTCCCCACATGACACCCAGCTTAAGATGGTTCGAAGGTATGTTTTTCTTCCTCGGACTTCACCTTGACAGTTGTTGGTATAGACAGTTGTTGGTATTTCTTATGCTCAAGTAGAGAATTCCACAAGCACACAGAATATACCGTAGTAGCAAGTCACCTAGGAATATTCCAAGGTATCATTATTTACTTTATCCCAAGGAAAAGCGGTAGCTAGAAATGATAATAAATGAGAGATTTTAATATTTACCACAACTTAGTATCAAATAGTGTAGAGGGATAATCAAATAGTGATGGGAAGGATTGATGAAACAAGTTCAAGCTAACTCTAGGATAACTTAGTAAGGTATAATTAGGTAGGAGGACAACGAGAGAGTATAAGGTTCCTATGATTCAAACTCTACTTCTAAGGATATATCTTAATCACACAATTGAAATACAAAGACCGAGTCCACACAACAAATATACTAGGTGGTAGGTGAGACAATAGGAGACAAAACTCCTACCCAAAGCAGGTACCTTGTTACGGGAGCCTTACCTTTTAAAAACTTGCCTAAGAACACATGGTTGAAAGCCTAGTTTGGTTTTGGATAATTGATGAAACCTATTGGAGTATATCTTTGGATTTGAGATATGTTAGTCCAAGTCCAAGTGATGGAGCTAGATGGCACTCATGGTGATAGAGGTGGCCTAAGAGATGGTTAATCAAGTGCTCCAACTTGGAAAAGAAGAAAGAGAAACAAAAATGGGCTCAACGTAAATGTTAAGCAATAGGGCCATTTTATTTTGCTGGTCAAGACACCGTAGAGAGTGTGACCAGGTTTAGGATAGATAGTCGTACTATTATTGGTATATTTTAGACGCACACAGATAAATCCGCAAGCGCACCGATACCGCTGTAGCTTTCACATGGAAGTATTCCAAGTATCATATCCACAGGAAAACGTATAAGATTAACTAGAGTCTAACTTAACTAGAGGTAGCAACAAGGCTAAGGATAAACAGGAACGTAGAGAGGACTATTAAGGTTCTCTAGTTCTGACTTGGGTAAGCTATGTCTTCTACTGTTCAACTGGCGACATTACTAAGGAAAGACACTAGCAGAGGATGCTATCCGTAGTAACCGGGTCCTAATCGGCCTACAAACGGGAGGTGGACTACGAAGGACTCAACGAGGCTATATAGTCACCCTCGTGATCTACCACCGGTCCCGAATGCAGGGTGCATCCATGAGTAATGAAGTCTAAGCACGACGCTTACACTACCAATTACTACTTTAACCTATGGCCAATAGATTAAAGCACTCAAAGGAGTCGCAAACCTGAAGAACAATATAAACAAAATGCTTACTTGAATCAAAAGTTGATTACTAGAGATGCAAGCTCAAGTAGAACTTGATTCCACCAAGGTACAAGCCATAGAGAGAGCACCGATAGGCTGACACTTCCTCCAAACTCTTCCCTCACTCTCCATCTCACTATTTCTATTTACAAGACTAGACCCTATAGAGGACTAATCTTCTCTTGATAGTTGTCTCTGATCCTAATGAGGAGGATATGAATTAGGGTTTCAGGATGGCTTTAGGGAGGAGGGTAGGGGCTACTATATATAGGGAGAGCCATCAATTCTAAGCCCTCGAATCAAACCGACTTAAAGCAACGGTGTAGATGCACTCTCAAAGGCGGTAGGAACCCGGCATACGAAGCAGAGGCTGACAGGTGGACCCCATAGGGCGGCCGACCTACATGTGGGGTCGGTCGGCCTGTGTCTATGACAGGTGGGCCTCTCCCTCTGGTGAAAGCTTCTAGACTTCGTCTTGAGTTGTTTTCGTATGTTTCACGAGTCGAATCTCTTTCTAATGTCGGTTTGCTTGGTTGGAGTGTATGACGGTGGTCCCAGGGACTGTTTTCTGGATAAATCCTCCTACATTCACATATTTACCAAAGCTCGTGGAATTCATTAGTTAAAACTCCTATTCCTATGTTTGGTGATGGAATTAAGTATACATGCAGGTTATATTAACGTTTTATAATTGATGTTAATGACCGTCAACAACTATGAAGAAGGAAAAATCATGGTAAAAGCAGTTATCAAGTGCCACTAGGTGATGTCATTTCATGCATATGCATTAATTAGGACCTAGGGTGTGCTAACTTGACCCTTGAAAATACTCTAGAAATGCTAATACATGTGCACAAGTGTTGGGACACATTGGTGTTAGCACATGGAAGCAAGGGTGGAAGAAAAGAAGTGAAAGGAGGTGTCTTAGAGGCGTCGGACCCTGGTTGGCAGGCAGGCGGACCATGGCATCTTGGTTCGGTCACTAACCCTAAGTGAGGCTGCTCTGATCACGAGCGCTGGACCCGGACTCAGGCAGGGCATCAACCCATGAGCTTCAAGTCTGGTGCCTAACCCTAGGTGGGGAGTACTATGCGTAGAAGCGTCGGACTCAGGCAGGTGGTGCGCCAGACCATGGCATCTGACTCTGGTCAGTCCGCAAATAATTATCAATGAAACAGAGAGCGACCAAAACATGTTGGACCCAGTGGTGATTGGTCTGGAGGGTATGGTCAGACTGGGTCCAGAGCCTTTTGGGGCTCCCTGGACCTCTCTAGATAGCGCTGGACCCTAGCAGTGCATGGTCCGCCTAGGCACTATGTGCGTTCGGAGCCTGCGTCCGGAGCCTGTGCGTAGAGAGCCGTTGGAGAGCCAACAGTCGAGTGGACACGTGGTGGCATCAGGTTCAAAGCGGGGAGGCGTCAGACCCACGTGGCTTGGTCTGGAGCTCCCGAAGCCCGGGTCTAGAGCTCGGTCCGACGGCCCTTCATGGGCATAACGGCTAGTGGAGCCTTGGGGGCTCTATAAATAGATGTTGGCCAGCTTGGGCTCACTCTCTTGGGCATTTTGATCATTGATACATCCCTTTGAGCTGAGCCAAACTTCTCCCACTCGTCTCCTTGCTTGATTGTGCATTAAGTGAGTTGGGAGTGATCCAAAGTGCATTTGTTTGAGTGATTGCATCTAGTGACACTTGGGGATCGTTCTTGCTATGTTTTTCTTATTACTCTTGGTGGTTACCGTCACCTAGACGGATTGAGCAGCGGAGGAGTGTTTGCACGAGTTGGTGATTGTTCTTGGCCACACTAATTGTGATTGTGAGGGGTTCTTGGGCTTATTCCCCAACGGAGCATCAAAAGCCACTCTAGTGGAACGCTAGTGACTTGTGTACCCTCTCTTGAGTTGGTTCTTATGGCGCCTTTGTGTAAGGCTTGGCTTGTGTATGCCAATTAGGGCGTGAACTACCAAGTGAGTGAGTCATCACAACAAGGACATAAGATGCCGACAAGCAACCGAACCTCAGGATAAATCTTGTGTCAATAGTCTCATTGGTTTTCATATTGGACACTTGCCTAGTTCGGTATATCCCTTTACACTTCTTGTATTTACATTTGTTCATTTACTTGAGTAGTAGTAGCTCTTGTTTAGCTTGCTAGTTGAGTAGCTAATTAATTACTTTAGTTGTATCAAGTTGTTGCTAGCTCACTAGACTAGAAGTAGTGACAAAGCTCTCGATTGCCATAGAGATCATAATTAACTAGTATATTGGTAGGTGGCTTGCAACACATAGTAGAGCTAGAGCAAAACTTGCTTATCGCCATTTAGTTGTCTAACCGGTTGCTCTAGTGTTTTGTAGAAATTTTTATTAGGCTATTCACCCTCCTCTAGCCATTTAGGACCTTTCAATGGTTGAATACGAAGACTAGACAAGGTTGTCACCACTTGCTAGCTACCAAAAACAATCCGTGTGACAAGCGACAACCAAAGGCAATATCGAGTATAAGCGCCACGATTACACCTTGTCTTACTACTCTAATTGTGTACACACAGATCAGAGCACCAAATGAAAGGCGATGGTCGTATACAAGTGTGGATCCTGGATCATCAATCTAGCATGTAACAATTATATGCTAAGACTAACCACAACAACAATATAACTAGTATAATGTTGCACAAAGTAAATGCTAAGTAAAGTAGAGGAAGAATAATATATTAAATAAAGTAAAAATCTTACAAAAAGGGAAAGGTACAAGAGGTATACTAGACTAGAAGACCAACTTTGGGAACTTGAGCAAAGCTCAACTCTACTTCTAACTCCCACACTAGACTATCCTACTATAAAGATAAAGTGGAGCTAATCGAAACTTGAGAGCTTCCTTTGCTTCTTCCTTTCTTTCATGAATGCAGAGGAGGGGTACCCCCTCTATTTATACTACTCCAAGTGGGC